CTGTTGTGCACTGATGGGCAGCACTGCTGGGCACTGATGGGAAGCACTGATTGGCACTTTTGGGGGCTGCACTGATAATCAGTGCCATTATTATTAGTGCAGATGTCTCCTTTTGACAGTTGCTGGTTATCGGCAGTACTTTCCTCAAGCTGTGACAGCATGAGGAAAGTACTGCCAATAACTGGCAAGTGTATTTACATGGCAGTCAGCTGTGTTTGGACACAGTTGATCACATGGTAAAAGACCAATCACAACGGCCTTTTACCATGTCATGTGATCAGCTTAGCGATCACAGATCTCGGCGGGTGTGCGCCGCTGGGGGGGTACGCGTTCTGAGGACGTCATATGACGCCCTACCAGAACTGGACAACCATGCTGTAGCCATCATTTGGGTATAGCACGGTAGGTAAGTGGTTAAAAGGCAAAAAAAGCCATTTATTGTTAAAAAGGTGATACCACTGCCTCACAACAATAAAACTTTTACAGCAACCTTAAAAGGAGTTAGCAGGCTGACCGCAAAAGACAAAAACACCCACGGGCATTGAATATGTGACGATGTCATGCACAGGCCACGCCCGACATTTTTAGTCTAACAGGCGTTTCCTGGGGACCTACATTGCACTCTGTGTGGCTGGCCTTCTTTTTTTTTAAAGGATTGGTTATTTTGGACACTTGTTGTTTTTGTTTTATGAACATTTCAACTTTTGATTCACATCACATGGCATCATCTGCGTATAAATAAGGACACTTTGTTATTTAAATTACTTTCATTTATTTGTGCGCTATTTATGTGGATTTATATATTTATGAGATTATTTCACATTTTCTAATTAGTTATATTAGCACTGCTATTTTGTATTTTATTGTATTTCTGAATGAACTACCACAGTTTTGTGAGACGCGATGGTAGTTATTTAAATCTTCCTGTTGGGTTATCTGCTTGCCCGTACAACCAGATATACTGGCAGGTCTGCAGGAGACCTGCATGGCACCAGCGATGTGCTGGTGCAATGCTTTAAAGACTTTTGCAACAAATAATAATAAATGCACTAGTGATGCACTGATATATCTGCCACCAAAATCTGTCCGCCGAAAATAGGCTGAAAATGACTTTAATGCAAAATCGTGCCCTGATGAATCCAATGCAAAATCGCGTCCCAGTGACTCCAGTGCAAAATCGCGTCACATTGACTCCAATGTAAAAACGCCCCCCCTATTGACTCCAATGTAAAAATGTCTCCTATTAACGTCAATGCAAAATTGCATCCTATTGATTCCAATGCAAAATCACATCCCATTGACTTCAATGCAAAAACACCTCTATTTTTTTTTTATTTATATGCAGTATATTTCATTTTTTTTTTCCGCTCCAGTTTTTGTTTTACATTCAATAAAAGCTATTTTTTACTGGATTGTATTTTTTGAATTCATATTCATTTAAATTCATGATATTATTTAAAAGGTCGAATATAATACAATTTTATATATAAAAAAAAAATATTTTTGGAAAAAAACTGTCCATTCGGTTTCAGTTTTCGACCAAGTGCATCCTGAATTTTTGGTTTTGGTGCAGAATTTTTTTTTTGGTGCACCCCTAAAATGCACATTTTACCTGCAAAAAAAATGTGCATTTATTATTTTTTTTGTCAAAAGTTGAAGTTATCCTTTAAATCTGAAGTTCTTTTCTGTTGTGTTAATAACATCAATTTCTAAAATAAAATTTACTGTTTTTATTTTTCAGTTTGCATGGATGGCAAAAGCACGTTGTGTACAAGGAGAAAGAATAAATCTTTAATGGTATAATTGAGAAGGAGGGAATCCCCCAGTATAAAAATCTGTTATTTCTATTTGGAAAATATAAAATTCTGTTTAAGATCTTTTAGGAAATCTTGATGGAAAATGCAGACCTGATAAAACATCTCTACACCATATTTTCTCTCAATTGTTTTCCTGGATTAACCTTTCTCTTATGACCAGAAATACTAATCTAACAAGAAAAATGTAAATGTATAAACATATTTCCTCAAGGGCAATATTGTATTAGTAAATCCAAATCGAACGATTCTCCAACTCTATCGCCATTGCGAGAAGCCTCTGAATAAAGAAACCATCCACCAAATGATGTGTTGTATACTCCCAGCAACATGTTTAAAACTGTCTCAGGAAATACGAAATAAAAATTGTATAACTTTTTAATATGTTTGGTATTCATGCTCATGCACCCTGAAAGTTCCATCTTCTCTATTGAATATTTGTCTCAGGAGCTCCTAAACACAGGTGCATGCTTTACTTCGCTCCATAAACGGTCAGACAGACCCACTTGCATCCCATAACATAACGTGCCTTTTAGCAGCTGATGTTAATTGTGATAAATACATAAAGCAGAACTGAAGCCAAAAATACTTACCAGTTTTAGTAGTCTGATGCCCGCGAGGTCGTCTTTGGCTGTCTTAATTGGCTGGCACAGAATGACATCACGTCCGTGCATGTGCAGGAGTGCTATCATCTCACTACACAGGCACTGTGCTGAAATGTAAACTGTGCTGTGAATGTACAGCTCTGTACATTCTACAGAGGATTGCGAACAGGCAGGTAAGTGTATTTTAGAGCCTGCCTAAGGGATGTGCAATTTATATCACCTGATGCCTGGGACATGTAGTTCCGGGTGCTGGGAAGGTAGTTTTTTTTTTTTTTTTTTTGTACGTTTAGCCATGCTGCGGGCAAGCAGCAGGGCTCACTTGTGCCATCCGAATGCTTTCATACAGAGTCCACTAGTGTCAGCCTCTGGCCACCCCCCATGTGCAAACCTCCCCCCTCCATGTCTCCAGGGCTTCACTTGCCCATCTGCAGGCCTGCAATCGGCTCAATGGGTGCCAGCGGGTAGAGGGGAGGGAGGAGAGTGGAACACGTTCTCTCTCCTCCCCTTCATGTCCTGACCCAGACGTGACGTCACTTCTGGGTCCCCATTGACAGATTTCCCAACCATTCAGGCCAGGAAAGAATGTAATGCAATGCGATGTGCATTGCATTACATACAGGGGAGATATCCAGGGTCTCAATAAAGAGAACCTGTCACCATAAATCACATACGAGACTTTTTTTAAGTAAAACATTTTTTTTTAATTACAAAAAATTTAAGTTACACACAAGCACATCCCCCCCCCCCCCCAAAAAAAAAAATTTTTGCGCCTCCCACCCCCACATATATGCATGTACAAACATAAACGAACACTCCGGGGCGCCTGCACATGACAATATTGATTGCAATAATGGTTACATATCACACACCGGAGTGAGTACAATAATTCTAGCACCAGACCTCCTCCATAATGCTAAAATGATGACCTATAAGGGGCTTTAAAAGCGTCACCTATAGAAAATATAGGGTACTAAAGCTTGTAGTCATTTCACGAGCGCACACCATTTTAAGATTTGACATGTTGGATATCTATTTACTTCGGTCAACCTCATCATTTATATTTTATAAAAAAAACTGGGTAATTGAATGCCTTATTGAGCCCTAAAATTAAAGTGTTTTTTTTGCTGAAATTTGGTATTTCCTAGACATTTATGGTAATATTGCATGACATAAAAAATTGCAACTACCACTATTTTATTCTCTAGGGTGTCTGCTTTCAGACAGTATATCATGTTTCAAGGGGTTTATGTAATCTTTAGGCCTAAAATGATTTTTTTAAATGTGTGCAAAAAACACAGAGGGCTCTGGCAGCAAAAGGGATAAAGGATACGTTCACCTTCGGAAACGTGACATCTGTTCTTAAGGTGGCATATGTAACATGTTCCCGCTCCTCACCGGCTTGACGATCCGAGCCTTCTGTGTGGGGCAGGGGCGGACTGACCATTCGAGCACTCGGGCACTGCCCGAGGGCCCGGGGTCAGTAGGGGGCCCCATGAAATGCCCCGGTACCTTTTTATTGGCTTTTTTGGGTGTGCTTTGAGTGTGGGCAAGGACATAGGGGCCCCATGATCCCCTATTGCCCGGGGGCCCCATGAGTTGTCAGTCCACCCCTGGTATGGGGAGAAGTTCCCTGTACCAGCTGTCACTTTTTGAAAAGAGCACGGTCTCTGCGGGTACTCCACCTACATGGCCGCGTCATCCATTCACAGTTCTGTTGAGTGCTCTGGTAGTTCATTGATTCTTCCTGTAAGTGTGAAACTACCTGCTTCTACAATGTACGGACAGACAGATTACACTGACAGTCTGCAGGAGTCCTGCATTACACCCACGATCTGCTGATCACTGGTGCAATGCTGCTTTCCAGGCTCCTAAAAAAAAATGTAAATTTTTTTACCTGCAAAAAAATGTGCATTTATTATTTTTTTTTTTAAAGGTGAACATATCCTTTAATGGAACAGACACTGTAGCTTGATTTGGCTGCTCAGCATGTGCTTGTACTGAGAACCCAAATGTTTGTTTTTTTTCTCATTGGGGCCTACGTCTAATTTACTTCCTCAGCAGATGCACTTAAGAGAGTCTGACACTCCTTTTTCCTGACAAGCACCCAATCGGTGCTCATTACACTGCAAGGTCTCTCCCTTCCCTGCTATTCCCTGGGTACGGTGCTGGAGACAGGTAGGGAAGTTAGTAGGAGACAAACAGTGCAATGTTAAAAATATTGAATGTTTTAGTCCCCATAAATTCCCCTTTCATCTTTATAAGCCCCAGATATTCATAAAAGCACCTCAGATTTAAATACGGTTTTGGTTAATATTTTTTTTTTTCAGGCCAAGTAGATTGTCATAATGAACAACTAGATTGGGACCTCTATTTAGTCCCTGGAAGTAGTTTCTTCAAAAAATTCCACACCCCTGTTGCCTGTTCTCAATGTTTTTCTTTTTCAGCTTTAGTTCTTCTTTAAATAATTACATGCATTTTAATAATGTTGAAATGTTGGCATTCACAGTTTTTAAGACATAAGCTGTCTTTAGGCTTTGTCATCTGTTCTGTTCTTGATTTTCGTCTCTTCCCATCACACTAGATGGCAGAGGAGGCAGAATACTACTGTGACCAACACCACTTTAATGAAACTCTGGATTGAATTGCATATTGCAAAGCTGTGATGAAGAAAAATAAATTTGCTAATCCAAATGTAATGTTTTTCTTTGGACTGCACATAATGGTTTTAATGCACAGCATGTAAAAATGTAAATGTATCTAAAATTAAACTGTAATAAAGCATTTTAACTGTTTGTAGATATACATTTCTGTAGTTATTCAATTCACAAATATACACTGGTCAAAAAACTAAAGGAACACTTTTTAATCAGGGTACAGCATCAAGTCGATTAAACTCCTGGGATATTGATCTTAAATAGCTGTCACGTACCTAGTAAGGGAGCCTGATGTGGAGGTGAGGGCGTCCTCTTGCGGTTCCTGCTCAGTGCGCCTGATAGAGTAGACAGGGAACACAAGAGCCAGGAGTAGCACGAGTGACGGGCATGTCTGTGCTGTTAGCTGACTGTGCATTGAGAAGAACACAGCGGCGGTGGAAGGGAGGGGGGCTGAAAGAAAACCATTCTGTGCAGCGGTGGAGGCAGCGAGCAGCGCCGGGGCTAGGGGTGTGTTGGAGGGGCGGCAGTGGTTGTGCTGACAGGCAGCGATCTCCTGTATGGCTTTCAATTAAGCATCTCAAAGCCATGGGAGGGAGAGGAGGAGAATCAGCTTTCAGCTGCTTCATTGAAAGTCATACAGGAGATCACTGCCTGTCACCACAACCACCACTGCCCCTCCCACACACCCCTAGCCCCAGCGCTGCTTGCCACCTCCACCGCTACACAGAACTGTTTTCTTTCAGCCCCCCTCCCTTCCACTGCCACTGTGTTCCAGCTGCTGTGTTCTTCTCACTGCCCAGCAGCCCAGGCCCTCCCTCTATCCTCTGCACCAATAGGAGAAGAGGGGAGAGAGGCTGGATCCGCTCTGCCTCCCCCTGTGCCCGCCCATACTCCAGTCCATGCAGCTTCAGAGGAGGTGTGGGTGAGAAACTGAACACAGCAGCCAATAGTCAGAGCTCTGATACTTCTGTCATGGTGAGTTTGACCTAACCTAACATCCTTACCCCCCCTTCCACCCACCGCTTCCTTCCTTCCCCCCCCCCCCCCCTCCCATCCATCCATCCCTTCCACCCCCCTCTCCCATCCATCCATCCCTTCCACCCACCCCTCCCTTCTTTCCTTCCACCCTTCCCTTCCTCCCCTCCTTCCTTCCACGCACCCCTCCCTACCACACATCCTTCCTTCCACCCACCCTTCCTTCCTTTCACCCTCCCCTCCCTTCCATCCACATCTTCTTTCTTTCCTTCCACCTGCACCTTCCTTCCTTCCACCTGCACCTTCCTTCCTTCCACCCACCCCTCCTCTCCTTCCTTCCACTCATTCCATCCTTCCACCCACCCACCCCTTCTTTTCACACACCCTTGCTTTTTTCCATCCACCCCTCCTTTCCTTACTTCCACCGACCCTTATAAGGTACTCAAGTGCTTCTTCCCTGTTTGACTTGTGGATTCGTTACAGGATGGTCTACACCTGGGTTACCACTTACTGCTACTGAACACGCCTACCTTATTTCCCATTCTGCTTTATGAGTACTCCATAGGGGAGTTCCCTTACTTTCAGCTATGGCCAAGAATAGACAGAGAGCCTACGATAAACAACAGGCAAACATTCATTCTGCCAAAGACCAACACAACACTAAGCCACCAAGTGACGATGCGTCCCTTGCACTGAAGCAGGAACCAGTCATAATGCTGGTCTCCGCATTCTATTCTAGCTCTGTTTCAGGCATGCAACAAGTGGAGTTTTCTGTATTTTTGGATAGATTGGAGTCTTAATTCAGCTATCTTTGTCCAGAGCTCAAAAATGCCCCACCTCTTATCCTTTTCTTGTTTCTCAACCAAAGTCAGACTCTTATATACTGGCCCTAGTGGATGCTAAATCACAGGGGAATGTACAAGATGTAGAAGCACAGTTTGGAGAAATGATGATTTTCCTCCTCCACACTTATTATATTAAAGAAGAGGCGTCCTGCAATATGGTTGCTAATGTCGAAAAGCTCATTGCCCCTGTATGCAAAAAGCCTTGACATAGTACAGGTGGACTCCTTGAGCTCAAAGGGACCTACTAAACTATGCAAAACATTACCAGGTTCACAAACTGATAGAATGTGCAATCTGTCATGAAAAGGGTCACTACTGAAATAAATTTTCACTCTCCCAAATGATGTTTTCTGAAATCAATCCATTTGAAAAAGAGTCTACGAAAAAGTGTGCTGTTCTTCTGTTTGACCGTGCTTTTTCTGTCCTAAACAAAGGCCACTAAGCCCTCTTCACAATGAAGGGGAGGCCTCACTCCTAAGAGTTGTGGAACGTCTCTTGCATTTCCCATCTCTATGGATCACAGACATCCCAGACCTGGGATCTCCAAAGGATACAAAATAGAGTTCAAAATTCTACCTCGTTACTGTTTTCTGTCAAATCAACCAAAAACTTTCCAAGGGCAGTTAGATTTGCAAAATTTCCTGAACCATCTCTTGTCAGAGTTGTGGTTCCAGTACCACCTCAAGACAGGTTCAAAGGATTCTACTCAAACCTGTTCACACTACCAAAAACCTAACAGAGGTATCAATCCTATCCTGGACTTAATATCCCTCAACAAATTCCTTCACGTTCCATCATTTCATATGGAATAAGCAAGATCATTAACTGCCTATCTGAGACCATTAGAACACATGGCATTCATGGACATTCAAGATACCTATCTGCATATTACCATTTACCCACTCCATCAGCAATTACTATGCTTTGCAGTGGCAGACAACCACTTCCAATTTGTCTTATTACCTTTTGGCCTGTCCTCTGCTTCCAGGGTGTTCACAAAGAGCATGCTTGCTTGCTCCTCCTAGAACTTGGGGCATCCAGGTGACAGACTATCCAGACGACCTTCTCCTAAAGGATGCCCTTCCGTTACAACTCTCAGTGAATGTTCAAAAGTTAATTCAACTTCTTCTGGCCTTTAGCTGGGTGACCAACTTCAACAAATCTGCTCTCCAGGCTTACATGTGCCTAGAGTATCTGTGAGGCTGTCCCTCTAGCACTGGACCCCTCTTCTAAAGGGACACCCAATTTGGGTGCAGTCAGGGATCCTCTAGCTCTGGCCTCAGATGCTCTAGGTAATCACTGGTCTCAGTTCACGCTAATGTATGCCTTCCCTCCACTGAGCATTCTACCTCGCCTGCCTGCTCCACAGAAAGAAGGGAAAACAGTTATTCTTCTGGCACCAAAATGGTCCAGAAGAACCTGGTACACCGACATGCTTTGACTTCTTGCAGAAGGCCCCTGGCCTTGTCCAAACAGACCGGATCTGCTCTCTTAAGGTGCTCTATTCTATTCACAGTCTCTGTCTTTAATAAGGTGCTTAAAGCAGGGGTACGCAACCTTTTGAAGAGAAAGGGCCCCTTAAGTAATTTGGTAACTGGTCATGGGCCCCATGGAGCATGGGGAAGGGTTGCCATTGTGACCTGACACTACACCAGTGGTTGGGGGTGTGTGGTAAAACACATCTCAATTTTGGGATTTTACTGCCCCCCCAGACCACAAATGTAAACAAGTCCCTACAGTCCTGATTCTCCTGTAAGGCTGCAGCAGAGTGCATCTGCGGTTTTCCTGGGGGTTAACTGCACATTGCCATAGACTTCTATTATATCTTGCAGGTGTTTGCTGTTAGTGGGTTGGACGTGATGTCATAGGGACCCGGAAGTGACGGGATCACGCTTAAAGCAATTTTAATCTATTCATTTCATTTGAGCTATCTGGAGCACCATTCACTTAAGGGGCACTTGGAGACTTATCTTGTGAAGAGCCTATAATTGGGAATCTATATATTATTCGAATTGCTCAGTGTTATGTGACCACCCTTTTGGGGGTCAACTTCTTCTGTTCCTTGGAGAGCCATTAACAAAAAAGTAATCAGGGAATTCATCCCATGAGAGCATGGAGTTGGAAATCTACATATTGCTTGACCATATACCGTTATTTGACCACATTAATGGGGTTCAACACCTTCTGGTGAGTGAAAAATTTATCAGTTACATACACGTGGTGGAGAAGAATTTTTTGAACTACGGGATACCCTCTTATGGGACTTTTATTCACTTAGCATAAAAAAAAATTGGGGGGATTTTAGTATATCATATACCAATTATCTATCCATATGGTGTTGGGAGAGCACTTTGCAATTATTGGATATATATTGTATTGAGCAAGAACCTGTCTATTCAAGATTTGTTACATTGAGTGTTCATTCACTATTTAGGGGGAGCTGCTATTACTGTCTGAAAAAGGCAGTATTCACTATCATTTGGTAATTCATAATCCACATGTACAGTATATTTGATTTTATGGGTGCCACAATATTGCTTTCTTTATTTATACTTTGCATTGTTTGCTACAAAACTGAGGACACAATGAGTGGGTTAGGTTCATAGAGGAGGAACCCCAAATAGGTGTGTCCTCCAAAGCTTGCCAGTGTCTATTCACCTAAAGGTATGGAGCTATAAACCATGATTTATGAATATGTTGCCTGTATCCTGTACTGTACTCCCAGATATGGAATGTAAAGGTAAGTCAATATTACTAATTTTTTCCTTTATACTATGTTTAGTTGTGCTAAATAATTGGGACTTTCTTATACCCTGAACATTGTCAAGGTGCTTCGGAGGCTTGATATTACAGGACTACAGGACTCCTGAGACTGAATTCTTGCATCATACGACTGACTGCTGCTGCTCACACTATTCCGCTGTGGCTAAGCCCACATTCTTCCAGAGTTTTTCCAACCCATTCATTTTCTGGGTGCAAAGGGTTATTACTGTTATACTCCTTCAGCACCACATTCTAGTCTACTCTTAGTCCGTGCTACAAAAAAAAAAAAATTGTTGGAACTTTTCAGACTAATTCTCATGTATGCTAGTTGACCCTTGAGACAGTCCAGATGTAGTTTATTTTACTCAGGTTACTGGATCCTACTCCCCTCTGCTTAAAGAAGT